GTGAACCAACTCAATTGCGCGTGAGTTGCTATACTATATGAGGAAATAACTGTTCTTTGTTAATTAGTCATTAACTTGAAACTGTCATGTCAAGAATATATGCAAAGATGGATAGTGACTAGCAGTCGAATCCAGTTTGATGAGCGTTTTCGTCCTATTTGGGACTCGAACTCAATACTGTTCGCTTCAAACGCGGTTGCCTATAAACTATAGTCTCACCCAATCATTTCTATTCTACTATGACAAAACTAATTTTTTTACTACCACTTTAAATGCTTTGGGTAGTATAAAAACATATCTCCACGTGACATTTAATTTTCGCGCTAAATCATAAGCGCTGAATTCTCAATTCTCCTTGGTTAGTTCTTATTATGCTCAGAATACTACTAATTATAAGATTAAATGATAAATAGAATAAAATAGCGATATGACGTTCTTCAGTTGTCTTTAATTATGCAACTGAAGAACATTAACAAAAAGTGATGTCTAAAAAGTGATTCTATATCAAGGAATAGATGTAAATTAGTTACAAACATCAACTTGTGAAGTATCTGTGGTGATTAGCGCGTCTATAGTCTAAAATAGAAAGGGATTGCTACAGCAACAACATAAAGATTAATTATGGCATATGATATTACAAATGATAACTGATAGCTGTGTGTAATCGTTTTTCAACAGGTATAAATAGAACCAAGAGCAAATGAATATGGAAACCGTTTAGTTTAAACGAAGATTAAATGACTATACAAAACTGATAATAACCGCTAGAAGGATTGACAGAAACCATAATTATAATGACAAATACAATAAATGTTATATGTAAATACTTTAAAATATTACACGATAAACTTGTGCAACAACATATGCCTAGAAATTGTTAGGAATACAACTGTTTACTGAATAATAGTAATAAGTAGTATCAAACAATATACAAAAAAGAATTGACAGGAAGATAGTAAGGACAGAGAATGTAAACAAACTTAACAGACATTTGGAGTACATCTTAAATCAAATGAAATCAGTGTATTGATTGTTTTGAGTTTTAAAAAGTAATTCATGTTTATATTTATAGAAACTGCTGTTTGGTATTTATATCGTCTTCAATAAGTATCTTCTTTCAATTACAAAATAACATATTGCTTCCAAAGATTTTGAAGTCAAGCATGGTCGCAATGACCAGAAAAATCTAAACTAGAACAGTAGTGTTGACCAATTGGATGTATGATCGTATGGTATGTTTAAGTAATCATGATAATACTACAAACTTATTCAGAAAACCTGAGTCATTCTAGTTACATGAAAGTGCATTTGTTGAACTGAATTTCCCAAATAGATTGTCTTCTATCTATGTTCAGTCGAATTAACCAAGCGCTAGGTGAATATGGTAATAACTTAACCGTAGTAGGAATCATATACCGATAATTACAAACCATACTAATTGCTGTTCCACAAGTTTATCGTGTAATATTCGAAAGTATTTACATATTACTTACTTACTTACGCCTGTTACTTCCAATGGAGCATAGGCCGCGGTCCAGCATTCACCAACCCACTCTGTCCCCAGTCTACCTTTCTAGTTCTATCCAATTGTTCTTCATTCTCCTCATGTCTGTCTCCATTTCTCGACGAAATGTGTTCTTTGGTCTTCCTCTCCTTCTTTGGCCTTCAGGATTCCATGTGGGGGCAACATTGTCTGACACCGGTCTTTACTTCGAACGAGTTTGTCAACTGTCCTCCATGCACAATTTTGCAGTTTAATCAATCTTTATGATATTGACTATCTTCTCAGGTAAGCCGTAGTGTCGAAAAAGCTCCCACAGTGTTGTTCTGTCCACGTTATCAAATGCCCTTTCGTAGTCAATGAAGTTGATGTAGAGTGATGAATTCCACTCAATTGATTGTTCCACAATGATCCGTAGAGTTGCGACTTAGTCTGTACACGATCTATCCTTAAAGAATCCTGCCTGTTGGTCACGAAGTTGGGTGTCTACGCAGTCCTTCATCCTGTTTAACAATACCCTGTTGAAGAATTTTTCCGGTATTGAGAGAAGAATGATGCCCCTGTAGTTATCACAGTTGCTGAGATCGCCTTTTTTCGGTATTTTGACCAGAAGTCCTTCTTTCCAGTCTTTTGGTACTTGTTCCTCATCCCAAATTTTGCTGAAGAGAATGTGGAGTATCCTTGCAGTTGCCGCTACGTCTGCTTTTAGTGCATCTGCTGGAATGTTGTCTGGTCCTGCTGCTTTGCCACTCTTGATTTGTCTGACAGCCATGCTGATTTCTTCAATTGTTGGTGGGCCAACATCGATTGGGAAGTCCGTGGGTGCTACTTCGATGTTGAGTGTGTTCAGTGGAGCTGGTCGGTTCAAAAGTTCTTTGAAGTGTTCCACCCACCTGTTTTGTTGTCCTTCAATGTTGGTGATTACCTTGACTTTCTTGCTTTTCACTGGTCGTTCTGGTTTGCGGTGATTTCCAGAGAGTTTCTTTGTCGTGTCATACAGTTGTCTCATGTTTCTTTCTCTTGCAGCCTTTTCCGCCGTCGTCGCTAAATCTTCCACATATTACGTTTGTCGGTTCTGATGCTCCTCTCCAATTGCTTGTTTAATAACTTACATATACTTTTGACATATATTGTATTTGTCACTAAGCTAGCATCTTATAAAGAAAAGCTTCTTAGAAATTATTTTTTTATTTCTGTATTTATTCGCATTTATCATGATAATGATAAACTCTCAGCTGAAATATTCCTTTTTTATGAAACTTAAACCACAGGTAGGAATTTCAAGTCGCATGATAAATAATCTGTTACAAACTGATTGTAGGATCTTTCACTTAATGATACGAGTTCCAATTCGGCAAGTAGTACGTATGCAGCTAGGAAGTATCTACCGCGTTCCAAAGTATGCTGCCAATCTCAATTAGTTGTGATTTCTTGACTACCATTACTATCTACGTTCTGAAGCTTAAAACTAGCGACTAGGGCCTGATAATACTTAGAAGTTGATTTATGCATTTAATACTACATTCACTAGAGATTTAAAATATTTTCAACAATTCATTGAGTTACTGAAATATTATTTAAGTAGTCTCATACTTTGAGAGGATGATGGATAGCAGGGGAATCCATGACGCGAGTTTCGTTCTATTTGGGACTTATCAGCTAGATGCACCTACACCTGAAATTTGGTGTCTACTCCGGGGCTCGAACCTGGTACCGATAGCTAGGTGCATAATGTGATGATGTCTGAAGCAAACGACACTGGGTCCGAGTCCCTAATAGGACGAAACGTGCGTCCTGGATTCCACTGCTAGGCATCATCATCTCTGATTACAATGTTTGTGACATAAGGCAATTCTCAAAGAATGCGCGTTTTTCAATAAAATAGTGATCTATTGCAGTCCTAAACATCAATGGAAGATTCAAACAACTAATACAAAGCAAAATTAAGTCTCATACTAAATTACAATAACCTAGGTAGTTCGAAAAAGTGCAAATTCCTGCCTGAAGACTTTTATCTGTAAACAACATGCACTATACTACTGGGTAACCTAACTTGGTAGTCATGATACAAACTAAATGACCGGGATTCAATCACCAATAATCTTCAGTTCGCTATGTTAGCATCTAATAATTGATATTTCCATTTTCAGTCAATTAGAGATAAATCTTACAACCACATTATTTTCCGAAGTAAACAAATCATTTTAATGTGTATTTGGTAGTTGGTTCTTAGCTATATCTACTATTCTAATGTCTTTGAAATTTGATTTAGATTTAAACTATGGAATCGAAAGCTAGATTTTGAAAATATGCACACAACTAAACAATAGTTTGATCTCGTTTGATTTAGATGTGAGATTTCCATGACCAGGTTGCAGACTCCATTTAAATCAATATTAGTTGGGACTAAAGTACATGACTAGGATTGAAAGTGAACGGATAGAAACACTTACGAAAGCTAAACAAATATAAAAGATCGATATCTGATATATTGGTTCATTTAAAAGGATAGAATGACAAAATTATTCATAAAACATAGCCACAGTTTGTTAGCAAGGGTAACTAATACGAACTAGCTATGCACACCGAAATAAGTGGAGCGAGACTCATTTATGACCTAGTGGTTGAAAGTAAGAAACCTAGGCCACTACTTCACTAAATGAGGTGTTTCTATTCAACGGTTAATAGTAATTTGAATTTTGGGTAGCAACGTAGTTGAAGACACGTGTTTTATTCCACTTGGGATTTATCAGTGTAATGTAACTATTTCCAAATGGGACTAGAACCTAAGACCTCAAATTCAAACCCCATAGTTGTTTGTAAACCTTAATCATTTAGCAAAGAAATTAAAGTAATAATAGCAATCGTGAGTATTTGGTTAGACACCGACCTACCACGGTTTATCAGACTAACTAGATAAGTATAGTTATCAGTACACTATCACTTCATTACCTCTGACCGGACTAAACGCTGACACATACCAGTCTTGAGGTGAAATTTTGTACTTAAAAAAAGATAAACGCATTCCAAAAATTATTTTATTGTTACTCAAGGTATTCAGCAGACCATGATTTTCTCTGGATTCTCAACAAACAAGTCAATCTTATTTTAAAGCTAAAAACTGGTTCTCCGGGTAGAAAGTTTATCTCTCAAAAAGTTAGATAAAGAAAATGTTATTCCTAAGGCCATGTCAACAACAAAGTGAGAACAAAAACGTAGAAAGTAAACTATTAAGAAATTATAAAACATAAATATATATTTTAGACTTTAATTACAATGTTACTAAGACATTGAAAAAGCTAATTTACATACAAAAGATACAATCTCTGTACAACATTGAATGTTTAGATCAATCAGTCATATGATTAATTTACTGTGATATGTCCAACAGGTGGGGGTTAATGATACAATGATGGGAGAAAATTCTCCTCCCCCGTCCCGACTAAATATCTGAATTTATTACAAAGATAAGTTTTAAGAATCAATAATCTAGTCATTGTCAACAAAATTGTGGTCTCGGTATAAAATTTGTTATTGATTCACATAGACTTGAACGAGATGTACGTTTATGAAGTAATGAATTTGATTGTATATTTGGATATTTTAATGGTATACTAGAATGTCGTTGAGTTTTAGTATTACAAAAATATGGATGACGAAGTGCATCTTGAGCAGTAATTCGTTTCTGTGGGCATGGTTCTAATAGACGAGCTAATAGATCATAAGCTGAAGTGGGAAAAATATGCGTTGATGATAAAGCAATCACTGGTTTTCCATTAGATAATTCTGTAGTTTGTGCAGAATTATCATTAGTTAAATTAGTTGACTTTACTGTAGTTTTACGTAATAAAGGAGGTAGACCAGCAAATTTTTTCTCGTATAATCTAATTGCAGAACATCTACAAGAAACCATAATTAATAGGACCATATCAAATCACTCATACAATCAAGTTTATGATTATTCAAATGATTATGTAAGCGGTAAAGGGAAGAGAAAGTATGAATTAGTAATAATAGTATGTAAGGAATCATAAGATATATATGACAAAGACAATGTAGGGTCTAATTTAATGATAAAAAAGGGGGGTGACAAAAATCCCACTCACTGAAATTCAGGTTTCTGTGTAACAGTACTCTTACATATCACGGAGAAAAATAAGCTGGAAAAAAGGACATCAAAGGAAGTAACCTCTTACAGAGAATCAATATAATATGAATATAATTGTAGCACCGAAAATAGTTATGTCACTTCAACGAACACCCTTTGTCACATTTCAATATGTTGATAACTTCAATTGTTCATCGAAAACTTTATATATCACTTAGGCCTACAACAAGGGTCATTAAAGTTTGTTATCTTGATATAGCTTCACAAAAGTTTGTCTCCGCCAATATATTTTTCAGAGCTGATCGAAAATACCCTTGATTGGAACAAACAGAGAAATTAGTTAGTCACTTTATTCAGTGGTATAATATTTAATTTCAGAGTTGCTCAAATGTCCACTCTAATAGTTACCGGCAATTGCATATAAGCTCACAATCTGATTGTCTGTACATTATGATAGAGAAGTTCATCAGTTAAGGGTAAAAGATTTTGAGTCCACCTAGGGGAGTTGGAAAACCCTGATTCCAAACCAACGGTGCACATAGACTCCAGTAACCTGAGGGAATAAATGGTATGTGGACCAATAGTTGTGCACCGGCTACCATGGGACTGCATCTCCTTACGATGCTCCACTGCCTTGTGGATCAAACCGGCGAGACTCTAATTTATGGACGAGCCAATCAGAAGCGTCTTAGAGACTTCAAGGTTACGGCGCCAACTTCAATGCTCGATGCTAACGTACGATCGGTTCACAGGGAATTTTGTACAAAACGTGATAATTGAGCGGCTATAACAAATGAAACGGTGAGACTATAGTTTGTGGACGAATCAATCAGATATAAGATAATAGATTTGGCTAAATAAATTTCTGGTATTATAGCTGATGTCAGTTCGTGATGAAACCCCATATATAATTACTAACTAGGACAAATGATGACAACTATCGCGAACTGGATAATAAAAGCACCAGTAACACTGGCTACAGCCAGGTACTGCAATATATACGGATGTTTGGAGAGCGTACAGACTCTTACATAGGCTTGGTTATGTGCATCGTATCGATATCCACAAGTAGAATTTTGTGTACTCAACAACGGAGTGCACATAAACAATATTGAAGGTATGTGGTCGAGGCTGAGAGTTTTTGAGACTTTATCATGGTTCCAGAGGTCGACTATTCTGTAGCCATATGGATGATTTCCTTTGATGCATGCATTGCGATTTTAGAACCCTTGAACCTCTTTCTAACCTTAACACGTTTTTGAACCACGTATAAGAAGTGTATCCACTTTATCTCCTTGGTTTTGTATAAGATATTTTTACTCTATGCTGACTGTGTGATGATTGGTTAATATTTCTCAAGGTCACTTGAGATTTGTTCAAAGGTCGTTCATAAATTAGAGTCTCGTCGTATCACAGCCCTCACACAAATCTAATGAGATTTGTGTAGTGCATATGTATCTGATGCCCCCTTGTACCAATAACTATGTGTCTACAGAGACAACTAAGAAATTGATGCTTAAATGTTTACTCAAACAACTCATAAATGCAAGTTGGATTGTAAGATAGATAAGTGTGAACATAAAGTTCAATTATCAACCAGATATATCTAAACCTTACTACAACTGAAAATATTTAACTTTACACATGAACATATCCAACGAAAACTAACAATTCAAAGTAAAACTAGTGTAATGAATGAAAGCTTCATACACTCCATTACTTAAGGAAAGTAACGAAAGGTTTATCTAAAGATTTTTTATTCAATCAGGTCATTATAATTAAAATGGTAGTTGAAAAAAATGAGTGATTGTACCTCAGGGGGAATATGGATCTGGTATGAAAATCATGCACAATGATGTTGATTTTTTACGATGAAACCTGGATTCAGTACTTATAGCTTTAAAACAGTTAACAGATACACATAAAGTGTCCCGAGTAGAACGAAACACGTGATTTGGATTCCACTACTGGATACAATACAAAAACACGATTATCATTCAGTGTTCTAATTTTTTCCTACAACAATATAATTTTCATGTCATTTTTTAAAAAAAAAGAATATTATTTTGTTAAGAGTGAAGCAGTTCTCTCCACCGACTAGTGGATGAAAACCATCATACTTTTTTAATATCAACCTTTACATCTACACATGTAAACAACTAATACAGATTATGCTGAGGTGGTATAGAAATAATTGTGTATCTTTAGTCACACAAAATAAGCGGTTAGGCAGTCTATGTGATCCGAGCAGAATCTCCAACAAGATGCATCGAAAGATAGTTGATCATCCATCCACTTAGAGGCTAATCTTGAATGATAGGAATATAATATGATTAATCATATGATTATAAAGAAGACTGTAGATAAGTGTTACTATCCGAAGTTACAAAACAACAAACTGAACGGAAAATGGATTACCACAAGTAAAATATTGCAAATAAATTCGTATTTTACCTTGTTTTAAGCCAGACAACAGGTGAATCACTAGCTTCCATAGGTGGTGGTCTAGGATCAAGTAAGAGTCTCCTACCAATGCTTCTGGCACCCATTTGCATGCGTTCATATCCAATTAGATGAGTGAAAGCATGAAGTACATCCAAATCATCGTCTACTTTTATAAAAGGATAACGACCAGAAAGGAAAGAAATAAATATAATTCCAACAGCCCATATATCAACAGCAGTTGTTTGTTCGATATGACGCATCATTACTTCCGGAGGTCTAAAGCCAAGTGTTCCGCCTCTACGAACAGTTGGTGCTCGAGGTAAATGTCGACAACCACGACATACAGTGAGACGTGAACCACAAACACATCCTCCTTGTCCTAAAGATTGTGTTAGGTTACTTGATATTTGTTGAGAGGATTTGATAGATGCACCTTTAAATGATGATTTGTTATCAATTTTTGAAGAATTACACTTATAAGCGAATAATGAGTTTGTAGAATCCATGGAATCTCGTTTATGAGTATAACTGTTTTCTCTGTTTGCTAATTTACACGCTGGTTATTCTCTGATATGTTAAGATTTGTCTACAGAAAAAACAAGCAGATTATATGATAGTCTCAACTAAAACTTGATTCATGAAATAAACAGTATGGTAGGACAATTTTGTCAAGAGCTTCATTTAACAAGTGGCTTTGAATACGCTAAGTTACTAAACTTTAAGCTACGTTTGTTCTATGGAAGCGAATGATACTAGGCGATATGTGACTTGGGACCTGACATATTGTTACTAGGACCAGAAAGAGAACACCAAACGAACTTTCTAGAAGTTGGCAAAAGAGATTGGTTAAATAATAGTTCTTTCTGATTAGATAGTTGTTAGTTACTGATAGAGTGTGGTCTGGAAAATCGATAACTAACTACCACGTAGGGAGTCCGACATTCGACATACAGAATATCCCGAGTATCCTTTAGATATACAACTACCATCAAATTTAAGCTGTCTGGCCTGAAATTATTAATCACTGATTGTGTCACGCACCCTACTAGGAAGTCTGTACCTACTTAGATGGTTTGAACAAAGAAGCAAGGACTCCATAAGCCAATGTCACGCTTTGACCTGCACACTTATTTTTTCTAAACTACTATGCTAGCCATTACAGTATTCCGAAATAAGCGGCGGGTGATTAGACATAACGCATGTTTCAGTCATCTCAGGAGACGAATATCTAAAAATTTTATTAATATAATGCTCGATTTTGTCCTCACTTTAGGATCTTTATACTAAAAATTTTGAAGCTACTTAAAGGACCTGAGACAGATTTCATTGACCCTCTATGAGTTTTGAAATAAATGACTAACCAATTCAATTAGAGACTCAAGAAACGGTTATTACGTCATCGCAGAAACTAATTTTGTGTAATATTAAAACCATAGTTAAAACGGAATCTTATTTCTTACCCGAGAAAAACTTGAAACTCTTTTCATTAATTCATTTTTCTTTGTATCTGAATCAGAGTTGATTTCAAATTTGCGCTCCCATCTTTCATCAATATCACCAAACTCTTCAGAATGTGCCAGACCAAAATCTACGAGAAAAAATCTAGATTATATGCCAGTTAAACAGACAAATTTTTACTGTTTCGTTTTTTGATCCATAAGAAAGTTTGTAGGCTTTACATCACGGTGAATTACTTTGTATTTATGAACATGAGCTAAAGCTGAAAGGAGTGCGCGCATATATCGTCTGATTTCTTTCTCATCTGCAGTTAGATAATAGTCCTCACAAGAAAAAATGAAGCATAAGAAATAAATATTTCTTAGCCTACTGTGAAAGGGATGTAATCAATAAAAGGCATTAAGATGAACACATGATCACGAATCCGCATTGCTGTATGCATTTGAATTACATTATGCTTACCACTGAAAGTATTTTATTGTATAAATGAGTAAACATATATTACCCCAATCTTCTCAGAATACGAATTTCATTCTCAATCCTACGAACATCGACTGTTGGGATAATCATTTTCAAAGCATAATATTTGGATTCATCAGGATCTTGTTTACTTTTGACTGCTAAGACAGAGGCAAATGTACCCTGTCCTTGTCGTTCAGAGACATCGAATAGGTCTGTAATTTGAGGGAACTCCGAAATATACTGCAAGCTTCTGACTTTGCTTTCAATCATTTCAAGAATGTCTGAAACAGATATTTTCAAAAAATCAAGTTTGAAAGATATAACTGTACTAGGAAATCACTTACACATAAGCGGTAATGAGGGTTCACTTGTGCCGTCAGGCATTCACGGATGTAACAAACTAATCTGGAAGTCTCCAAGTAATGTTTATGTTCTCAGCTTCAAGGCACACGTTTTCATGACCATTGATGATGCATGGGTTGCTCAAGTGAAAGAACGAGTGCGGGGCCCAAATACACAACGTAGTGGTTAAAGGTCGACTGATTTAACTATTAAACTATATGAACTTTGAATCGAAGAGGACAGTATGAACTAAAGTCAGTGTAATGTAAAGGAATAAACGGAGTATTTATGTTTCGTGGTTTACTCATTGTCATCAGTAATGGGGCACATTCGTTGCAACAGTATGATAAACCCAACAACATAAAATTCAAAGGTTTCGGGTTACAGTCACTCAGTTACCAACTGGTGATGTAGCTATACCAAGATGAGATATCAATATATATATGATTAGGAGCATAAATAAACAAGGTGGTTACTACACAAGTCTTTATTACTAGTTAGCTGCAAAGAAAAAGTATGGTATATTGGAGGCTCTCAGCTAACCGATCAAAATTAAGATAACACCTCAAGTATATCATGAGAAATTGCAAATGTAATAGTAGATAACTAGCATTTTAATATTGACTAAGTAATATTGACAATGGTTTAGTCATAAAATGTTTCCAACCAAAAAGTCCACGTTAAGTGGTGGTTGAGCAAAATAACAGGACACACCTGCTCCTAAGATGAAATATGTGCTGAAGTGCTTGATGTGATACAGTGTTTAGTCAAGAGAGTTTAGATAAAGATAGGTGATAACTTTCCTTTACTACTCTTGCTCTGAATTTCAAGCCCGCTGTTCTTTTCAATCGAAGAGTGAAAAAGCACTTCATTGTAGCTGTTATAGACTTATGACGAGAACACGGATACTAACGTTTAAAACCAACAGAAAGCCACATTCTAATCCTTAATATCTGACTACAACAATTTTAAGTGACAACTGATGTCATTGAGAGTCAGTGACCAAAACTCTGTAGGGTGATCAATCTAAACCACAGCGCTAGTCCGAGTTCTAATATGCAAACCTGACTTATGTCTTTTGCTATAACGGATGATTTGACATGTGAGAAATAATTATTCAGATCAAGACTGCTATTCTACTATTATATTTATTTATTTATTTAAACACATAAACATTGGTATAAAGAGGCACCAGATAGATATGCACCACATAAATCATTCGATTTACGTGAGGGCTGGGATACTGCTCGGTGTCCAAACCGATGCAGGTTATAACAGTAAATTATATATATATATATATATATATATATATATACCACCAATTTACATTGTCAATTGTTATATAACTAGGTAGCGTTTCCTAATAGGTTGATAAGTCGCCCTAGGTCATCAACATAGTACACTTCAACCAGTAAGATTAAGCCATAACCTCTTCAAGCATATCGAACGAGAACAGAAAACACAGATCGGAAAGAAGTTAAGCCTGTGACAAATGCTACCGTCCTTTTGAAAAATGCACTTACGCCGAGTAAAAGGAGTGACTTGTAACAACTAGCAACACTAATAGAGTCTAGTGTATTGATTCGTGTCAAGCCAGAGGGTACTTTGTGTACAAAAGGAGCATGCAGTGTAGCGTTAAAGCTGGAGATGAAAACATACGAAAAAGTGGGTCGATAACCCAGTGAGCGCGCACAATGCACTTGCGTCTTACTAGGGAGAGAAATGAACAACAACTAGAAGTAACACAGGCCTCATATTAAAACAAACTTAGAATCAAAACTAGAACCAAGAGATCCAATCCGTTACACAAGTTAAGTTCAAATTGACTCTTTTCACTGAGCGGTTCACCTCAAGGTCTAACGCAGTTATTTACTTTCGTAAAACAGGTGGTTGGGTTCAAAAGGTTTTAGACTTTATATTCTGTTAGATGGAATAGTGGCACTCAGAGTAATCTCCTCGATTCTAATAGAATTAAAGCTAATATCACACGTGTCAGGCAAGAGTCCAAATCTGCTCTGGCTTTTCTGAAAAGTGAGATAAAGTGCGTAAACTGGAGTCATACTTGTAGCGGTAAATAAATCCCTAAAATCAATAGCTCTGTGAGTCTTCAAAATCTGGTGATGGCTGCACTAGTTTTAACGAACTCACCTGGCTGAATGCGCTCGGTCATGCGTCTGCTCCAGATCACGAGTGAGTACACCGTGCTTCCCTTTCCTACAACCACTAGCCAGCTTAGACTAGTCACTTCTTGGTATACCGATATTCTATCAGACTTATCATCGAGCCTCTTTACTTCTGACCTCTGATTTTACAGGGTTATCGTGTTCCGATTAAAAATGGCGTTACTTGTTAAGTTGTTGCCACCTTTAGTGTTGAGCCAGGCTTTATCTGGTACACCTATTCGTAAACTTTGAGTCTATTCCTTTTCGGAGCGATCTATATCGTGTTTTACTTTAGTTTTTATACAGTGTTATATTTTTTCGTATCTGTGACTTTTTTCACAGTCCATTGCTATATTCATTATGACTGAACAGACTCTTAAACTATTAAGGATCTAGACTCTTTCTCCACTCTCACTTCGGCTAATGCCATTCTGACTGGGCAGAATCGAAGCCTGGTTCTACTACTCAGAGGCTTACTTCCACAAGCGCGGCGTGACCTATCCACCTACACCATTTCTCGCAGTAATGAAGGCACTACCGGCACGAATTCATCGGGTACGCTACACTCTGTATGTTCACTAGTGATGTTTCGGAAGTTTGTAAAACTCTAAAAAAACGTATATTCCTAAATGTGGAGATCTAACTGATCGGTGAAAGTTAGGTCAACTCTTCAATACATTGATCTAAAACATGGCTCCGCAACAGACATGTTGTTACGAACGATAGGTCGTTGGTCAACGGACCTTCGACGAAGTCCTATTTAGACAAGTTTTCTTGTCTGAGCTTCTGTAACAGACGCAGGCAGTGTCTGTCTCATTCCAAAACAACGCTGTAGATGAGCTGGCTGCATTTATCGGCCGAATTCTGGGAATCACTAGGAATTTTGACGATGAGGTCTATTCAACCAAAGAAAAACCTTGAACGATACAAAATGGCGCCACAAAACTGCGTCATTCTCCGACACGTTACCTTAGTATTTGTCGTGACTGTAAATGATCTCAAACTCCTTGGAGCGGTACTTCACAAAATTATCAGTCTCTAGGTCACGAGAGATAGATAACCTTTCTTAGTGTTGGTACCATAAACAGTAGTGAAAATCTTCTCTAAAGTGTAGAAAACTGTGTTGTTTCCCTAGTCCCAAGCCGACCAACACGAGAAACGTTTCAGGAAGCTTCCAAGTCGGCACGTGTTAATGGCAACCGTAGCCAGTGAACACAACTGTCTGTTATACATCGCTGATGTGACTACGAAAGTTCGCTACCTTGGCGACAGCGGCGCAGAAGTTAGCGCTCTTCCAGCGAATCCTAACGACCGATTGCGTGAGGCAGTTTTCAACTTACAGGTGGCAAGTAAGAAACCGACTGCCACATATAGTAAGCGATATGTTTGACTTAACGTGGGTTTACGCAAACCTATTCACTCTGGGTCTTCGTTGTTTCAGATGTTTCAATCATAATCATAGACTCGCTATAACATCATAATCGACACGGGAAAATCGGGGTTAGCAAACGGAAATACTGAATTGTGTGTATATGTAGCTTCTTCTGGTAGTAGATTCTCCCCAGTCACAGTAAGGCACGTGAACGATCCATGCTATCAACAATTACTCGGTAAGTACCCCGAGATATACCAAACGCTACCAAAATCGTCATGTGTAACCAGCAATGCTACTCACCACATCACGACTGCGAGACGACCCGTGTTCTCGAAAGTGCGCCGACTAGCTCCGAAAAGCCGAGGTTGGCCAAAAACGAACTAAACCACATGATAGACTCAGGAATCGTTCGGTCATCAAACAGTCCGTGGGCATCTCCGTTACATATAGTCCCCAGAAAGGATAGTAACGCCTGGCGTCTGATTGGTGGATATTGGCGCCGAAATGAGAAAACCATTCCTGATCGTTACCCGTCACCTCACATTCACGATTTCACAGCTACCACAAACATTACAACTGTTTTTTTCGAAAACCCGTTTGATTAAAGCATATATAGTGGCCTTGGGTTCTAACCACACAACTCTCAGTGCTGAACACGAGACAACTGGGAAAAACGGATGTTTAACGTGTGATGCGGAGAAAAAAACCAACGGTGGATAAGGCGGAGACAATGGATTGAGTTAATTCGAGTTGATTGGATTGCATGGCTCGACCTTGCGGGCGTGGTCCCTGTTGAATGTTACCTTATATTAAGTATATTGCTCTATCTCTTGCCTGAATTCGTTCTCCATCATATATTGGTAATTGTTAAGATACGCTGAGTCAGTGTAGACAATGTTGTGACCTCAACGTAAGATCTTATAGATTAAGCAGTTACATCATGACAAATCTACCATTTTATGATTATGTCTATTATAAGAGCATTATTAATATCATCGTAGACCATGTTTTCTACACGTATAACCGAATACTCACAGCTTCTGACGTCATTCCTGAAACCGATATCGTCACTCGTTTCGGTCTCTACGAATTTTCGCGCAGGCTTTTCGGCTTAACAAATGACGCACAAACTTTACAGAGATTCATCCATGAAGATTTTTGAGGTCTAAACTTCATAGATGAGTATTTTGGTGACTGCTTCATTACAGTCCATACAGAGAATCTCATCTCCATCTTCTGAACCTTGTTTTCGAACTACTATGAAATCACGGCATTACTGTAAACATTCAGGAATGTCAAATTAGCAATGACCCTCCCACTACTGATGATCAAAACATCCGACCTCTAAAAAGCAAGGTAGCGACCATTCTGGATTACTCAGAACCGACCAA